GAAGATCTGCATTTCCAAACATTCTGTTATTGAATTTCAAGACCCGCAGCATATTCAGAGCAGCATTTTCCCGACTCTCAGCAAGTACAACCTGCAACACACGCTCCGACACGAAACACTGCATGAACAGCAACGCCCCACTGGCCTCGGCAGCAATGAACCAAACTGACTCTGACACTGAGCCATGATGTTTCAGTACAAGTAGGGACCCCAGAAGGCCTCCGTGTACTGAAGTAACGTCTTTTGCATAGCTACGGAAATAATTAATAAATAATCCTTGATCACATAAGATAGCAATGAAAAATATCAACTGTGCACTCATAACCATGTATAAACAATTAAAATGAAACAATTCCAGAACGTTTTCGTGTGACCATCATCAGTGGAACATCGTCACATAGTAAGAATCACTAAAACAACCAGTTATATAGCTAGAGTAATATGAAAAGAAGCGTGAGAATGCAGCACAGCTAGCTGTGAGAATGCAGCACCCGCTAGCTTGTCGTAAGTTGTTTGACGATTCCTGGTTTAGTGCTATTTGTCGCGCGCGTTTCTTTGAACAGTTGCAGGTGTTGGAAGCTGTATATATTCGCACACGTGACCCTGTTCTATGCAAGCAAAAAGAAAATGTTGTAGCACTCACACTTTTTAAATAATACGCACTCACCAGTTTTTGTCCACACGCACTCACAGCTGCCAAATTCATCTAATTCTACCATTCTCAGATACACTGCAAAGGTTCACATGTGACGATGTTCCACTGATGATGGTCACACGAAAACGTTCTGGAATTGTTTCATTTTAATTGTTTATACATGGTTATGAGTGCACAGTTGATATTTTTCATTGCTAATTAACGACTGTGTCTCCACGTCGGTTATTTGATCACATAGGAGGTCGTGCTTTATAGGCGATTATGATTTATAGGAAATTGTGTATCATCGAACCTCTATAGTTTCTGAAGACGGCAGAAATAGATTCAGCTGAAGCTACTAGAGATTACAGCAAAGCGATCATCATGCACCGTTTCTAGCAAGAAGACTGGGCAATCTCTTATAAACATTCATTAGTTTGAGGAAGAGAGCTGAAAATGGGAAAATCTGAAGAAGATATTAAATGGCACCACCCGGACTGGCGCCAGGGACCTTTGCTTGACTCCAACCATGCTCTGCCACTCACCTATAGTGTAGCCGTCAACTCAACAGACACTGTTCAACACTTTCTGCAAGATGTTAATGCTCACGCTTCCTGTGGCACTGCCGGAAGCAGGTGGAACCCAGCCGTCACTGTTCTCACACAAGTTATGCACAAATTAAGGATTGAGGACCAGAATCGGAACGTTTGGCTATTGCGTGTTTAGAACAACCATTAGTGTGACACTTGTGCATGATTGGCTTTCATAATATCATAGAGTGCAACCTCTCCTAATAAATAATTATTGTGCACATGCAGTGACACGTTTTCCGTGAGCAGATGTGAACATCTCGTGTCTCCTAATGCTGACACGCGAATCCTAACTGTCCCAGTGCAAAAATACTGCAAACACAACGAAGATAACACTCCTTCGGTTCAGCCAGCGACAAAGTACAGCGCAGTTTATAACTGGTTCGACCTGTTTCTCTGAGTTCAGTTAATAAAACCTAAAACTGTGGAAAGAGCTAGATGTCGGGAGATTGAGTGCAACTGTATAATGTGCGTTGCCACTGTGAAGAGGAAGATCACAAAGTACAGCTATAGGCTTCTTCGCCGTACTTTTAAAGTTTTATGAAACAGCCTATTTCAACGTTTTCCTAAATTCATTAGTCTGATCGAGAGGGTTGAAAAGAGAACATCTGAAGAAGATATTGAATGGCACCACCAGGGCTGGCACCAGGGACCTTTGCTTGACGCCAGACATGCTCTATCACTCACCTATGGGATAGCCGTCATCCCAGCAGACACTGTTCAACACTTACTGCAAGATGGTAACGCGCAAGCGTCCTGCGACACTACCAGGGGCTGGTGGAACCCAGCCGTCACTATTCTCACACACTCCATGCACATAATTATCAAATACGTCCTGTATGAGGCAGACATCTATTGCTTGTCTCATCACCAGTTCTACGGATCAAGGATCGGAAGCGGAACGTCTGGCTACTGTGTGTTAAAACAATTGTCAGCAAAAGTGTGACATGTGTGTATGATTGGTATTGATCTAGAATGCAATCTCTTCTAATAATGGTATGTACATGCTGTGACACGTTTTCCGTGAGAAGATGTGAACATCTCGTGTCTCCTGAATCCTGACACACGAATCCTAACTGTCCTAGTGTTGTAATGCTGCTAACACAACAACGCTATCACTCCTCCAGTTCACAGGTATACAGTAATAAGATCTCTGCGAGAGCTTGGACGTACTTCGAAGTACATCACAGTATATAATTAGTTAGACCTGTAACTCTGAGCTCAGTTGATGATAGCTAACACTTTGGAAATAGCTAGATATCGGGAGATTGAGTACGACTGTATACAGTAACGTTTGTTGCCATTGTTAGAAAGCCAAGAAAGATCATTAAGTGCCGCGAAAGGCTTTGTTACGGTTGTGCTTGGGAGAAGTGGTTTTTGTCGTGACTAGTTGAAGCGTAACGTCTCTCAAAAAATATTACTTTCCATCCATTACTGGTTGCAAGCGGGACTGTGTCGACGGCAATGGCTTGGTGCTGGTTGATTGTAACATCCACCTTGTGGGTGTTCTGTTTACTTCAATTGCTGGATCGTGCTATGTATGTCAATGGAGACAACAACGGACCATTGATAAAAGTCACTGGACGTCCTCAACACCCAAGTGTTATAAGCCAAGAATTATACGAAAGTTATAATACCGGTACGTATCGGTATTTGTCCAAAGTTCTCGTCAGGGAGGTCGTTATGTTCAGAGAAAATGATCGAAGTAAGTTCGCACCGCACATTATGATCATCTATAGGGTAGTTGAACATGAGACAGTCTATGTAAACGTTGCTGTGTTCGATACAAGCTTCACTGGAGGTCAAACCTGGCAGCTGTTTGAGCGTGAGATTGACTTGAACGTGACACTGGGTGAGGAATGCTGCTGTTTCAAAACTTCGCCAAGTGTGACTGTATCCCCATGCAAGCATCAAGTCATCCTACAGAACTTTGGCCCTGGCGAATGTAGCAACTTAGTTTTGCTTTATAGCAACAGGCAAACCAGAGTTATTAAAGCGCGAGGAAGAAGTCAGGTTCGTCTGGTGGGTGGACCGGGGTCGTCTCTCGTCGCCATTCCAGCAGCCTTGAATGCTTGCGCAGCAAATTCATCAAATTCGTCGTTCTTCCTCTTTTCATTTGGAGGTTGTATTTTGTGGAGCAATGAATCCTGCTATACCCCAAGAAATGTTCTATCTCGTCTTCATGTTCACGGCCATGATGTGGGAAATTGGCAGGCTATTCACCCAAGCGATATGGTGACTCCCCAACCTCGCCAGTTCGCCAGACTTTTCGCTGATGATGATGGTGCAATTCTGTGGTTTGTAGGTGGGTGGAAAGTGCTTGAAGGATTCGCGGAATCCGTCACTTTGGATATTTGGAAATTCGACACCTTATCTCTGACATGGATGGAGGTGAAAAATACCTTTCAAGGCCCCATGTACTTTCTCAATTCAGATTTTGATGCATCGTTTCTTGCCTTGCAGAATATCTTGGTTATTAATCCAAAGAGGAAACGATTGGGAGGCACGTTTCACCAGAAAATTATTGTGTGCAATGTTCAAGATTTCCCTGCCAACTGTGCTAGTCGTGTGATTCCAAACAGAGATTTTCCAGTGAGTTTCCGATTTTTAATACTGTAGTATCATTTTTGGAAAGAAATCATTCTTCCTCGTACCGAGATCTGGAGAATCTGTGATGAGGGTAATTGTATATTCGAAATGGGATGGAAGCACTACATCAATGCATCTCCAGAAAACGCAGGTTATGAGCATTGTCAAATCATTCACTGGTGCACATTTGACCAGACGGCTTGCAGCCAGCATCCTACTTCCAACGAGAACCAAGGAAATACAAGAAGTTCTAGTGTTTGGGAGTACTGGAAGATTACTTGTAGAGAATACCGCTATTCTGAACTTTATTCGAAGTCCTATGTTCACAATGCCTGTGTGGATATTACGCTCTTCACAAGGGAAGAACCCCTATTCCACCGGATTCTACTATACACTGCTCTACCCGTCACCCGGACCAGATTGTCCTCTTCGCCATTATCACACCGTAACCTTGGTAACAAATAGAACAGCCATCCTGTATGGAGGGTGTCTTAAAGAGAATGGTGACCCGAATCCGTGGTGTTTTAATACAAACCAACACTTTTGGGTAAAGGCTAACATCACATCTGGGAGCGTACCATCGCCACGGCAACTGCATGTATCGTTCAGACATAATAGATCTGCAATGGTCATCCATGGTGGAAGTGGCAAAATATCCAGCAATGCCCTAGGAGATTTGTGGATGTTCATCATGGAAGACGAAGACCAGTGCAAAGGTCGATAGCATGATCTCACAGGATACGTTCAGAAAGGACATCTACCTATCCAGTATGGTCATTCAGTCACACCAACTGATCATGGAGTGTTGCTGTTTGGGGGCAAGATTCCATCGAATTCAAAACTAGTACTGGTTGACATCCGTTCAACAGTCGAAATAACCGTTCGTGATATTCCGATAATTCCTGAGATACCAAACCGTTACAGCCACAGCCTGTCATTTGTAAACAATGACTTAATCCTGACTGGAGGTCTTATAACAGGGGGGGGAAGATGCTTGACTTTGCAAATTGGGCAGTTCTTATCACCATCAGAAGCCTTGGTTCTCATGTAGTGGCTTCATGGAATAGGTTCTTCAAAATCAGAATTAGAAATCACTTTGTACTTGGCAATGTGGTAATTGGTGGAGCTACAGTAAAATCGTGTCGGAAAACCCAAGTTCTCTTTCTCAATACCTCCAATCTATGCCCTGTCGGCCTCGAACGGGACGAGAACTCCCAATGTCAACCATGCCCTATCGGAAAGTATTCTGCAACTCTTCAACAGCAGTGCATCGAATGCAACCAGTCCTTAACCACCGTCGGAGAGGCAGCATCTCACTGTGTTCCTGAGGGACCCTGTAAAGACAACACTTGTAATGGACATGGTGAATGCCTGGTCAACAAGGAAGACTTCAAACACATCTGCGTGTGTCGTTTCGGATATTTACCCAGCGATGACTGCAATACACCAGCAGTGTACCTGATCTTGATGGCTTCTCTCGTTTTCGCCACCACCCTCACCACCCTCGTCATAGCTCTCATTCAGTTCCTGAGAAAGAGAAGGGCTCTGAATGCAAAGGAAATTGAACTCGTCAATACCAATCGTGACCTCTACCGCTCCAACAGAAAGCTCAGTCAAATCAACCATGGCACGTGCATTGAATGGTCTGATCTCAAGATTCAGAGACAACTTGCCGAGGGAAGGTTTTGTAAAGTGTTACTTGCTGAGTTGGGAGATATGGCAGTTGTTGTCAAGCGACTTCCACCCTTTGTTTCAACTGCATCGCCATACGATTCCTTTGTTCAAGAAGCGGAAGTTCTACGAACATTAAGCCACCCAAATATAGTTTTATTCTTGGGAGCAGGAAAGGATACGCAATCCAGGTGTCCATTTCTTGTGATGGAATACTTGATGCGAGGTTCTCTCTGCGATGTTCTCCATGATCCGTCCAACAAGATTGACCACCCAGATCGACTGCGATTCTCCCTGGATGCTGCAAGAGGTGTCAAGTATCTGCAAAACAGAGATCCACCCATGATCCACCGTGACATCAAGTCAGCCAACATGCTTGTCAGTGACAAATGGGTGGTGAAGATCGCCGACATGGAAACAGCACGATTCCTAGCCATCCTTCATCCCGATGGTATTGAATCTAATGAGAGGAAAACAGGGTGCAAGCAGGCAAGAGATCACTCGACACGCACAGTATCATAATACAACCCACTCTGATCAACTAACAACCCCATTATTGGGTGCTACAGGTGTCACATCTGATGTGGATCGCACTGATGACGACAGAGCTACAAGAGCTACGGAGAAAATGACGTCACGTATTGGAATGACGTGTGGAGTTGGTACCGATCGCTGGCGATCACCTGAATCCATCAAGAAGAATCTGTACACGGAGAAACACGATGTCTACAGGTGAGAGGTTGAGAACGATGAAACCAGCTGCAAACAAAATTTTAATGAGTAGATCGTCGTCTTTTGTTAGAAATGATGAAGAGATCTCTATCCCCTATGCTGTCTTTTCTCTGAGTCTTTTCTTTACTGAAGAGTTGAAGTGGCAGACATGGCAGTCGAACTCAATCTGACATGAGTCGTGGTTTTTATAAATTCTATTTTCGTCAGTACGACTACTAGTTCTACAGTATTCAGTTCTCCTTGTGGGGTTAGACATTGAGATGTACTTCAAGTAATATATGTTGCCACACTGGCGTGGGAGCCGGCCTTAGTAGTAATAGCAGTAGTTTTTATTATTATACTTATGGGAGTCCCAACAGGCTACCGCCTTTATACTGGGAACCCTAGGTGAAGGTTTAACCATGAACAGAGCAAGAGAGTGGGCCTGTCGACAGTCAGCTGGACGACCCCCTTTAACTTGTCTCATTGTCAAATGTCTTGACGGTGCATAGAATTTGGGTATTGCAGTGCAAATAGGCCCAACACTATCATCTCCCCATGTTGTATTCTCTTGATTCAGCTTTGGCGTGGTTATGTGGGAGCTCTCAACTCGACAGATACCTTATGAACACCTCAGCAACTCTGACGATATCCTGGATGAAATTGCAGGTGGCACCAAGCCCATCTTTCCACCAAACATACCCTATGGGTATCGTCACATCGCTGAGCAGTGTATCAAGACAGATCTACAGGAGAGACCGTCAATGCAGTGCATTGTCCAAGAGTTGCTGTCACAAATTGATCGCAACTGACATGCGGCTCCACCATCACACGAAGCAAAGTACACCGCAATTCACAACGCTCGCAGATATCCTTCACTTCTTCCAATGATGTATTTCCCAGTGCATTCCCCGATAACTGCACAAATTTGAAATTTAGAAGTACGTACACTTTGTTTCATATGTACGTATTTGTCACCTTTCGAACTGCTCATTATTCCCGCAACAATCTGTTTCCACCTGTGAATGCACGCATTGGAGGCAAAGAGTGGTGGTCCAACCTGATCCAATCGAGGTAGTCACACAAGCAACGCAGTGAGTTGCGACTAAATGCTCATCGTCCTCTTACTGTTTCTACTATGCGCTGCGCTTCTGCACATTGAGCACTCTGCAGGCGGCTGACTAAATCCGGCCTAACACGATCTCACAAATATGCACATCAGCTTACATGATGTCACGTACTTATCAGATCACACCTGGCCCGTGTCAACACCTGCCTCAACAACCACAGCCAAACTTTCAACGAAATAATTGGAGCACAGTTTAAAGTGCAAACATACATACATGTACATACTTCACGTACCGCGCTAACACTGCACTGCTAGCCCCTGCCTTCGACAACCACACACTCTGCACACAGCCCCTGCCTAAAACACCACTGCTACTACGCTAGCCCCCACAGTCTCAAACAGCTTTTTATACCACCCTCTCCTGGCATATACATGTATACCGGCATGGTCGGCACCCGATCTTCATGTTGCCTGATGATTGCGCGAGCATGAAACTTAAAGTAGCAGCAAACAAGCCTTGATTGTCCTTGTTGTTCTGTTGTGCACTTCACGTACACGTATCTTGTGACGATGTGAAATAGTTATACCAGCCTTGTTACATGTATGTTGAGAATCTCATGCAAACATATAGTACATACTTCACTTGTAGCTTGTAAAGATGTATAATGTTTATGACAGCCTGTTATATTGAGAATCTCATGCGTACACCGCCAAACAAGGTCACATGCATAGCAATCTTGCCAAATGCTTTGTTTCACAAGATTTCATTCTGCTTTCTAACGTGTGTCTGCATTGTGTGGCATTGTGCACTGCTTTCAAAATATTATTAAACACAAGATATTAGTACTCGTGGCGACATACACGAATGTGCATCCAAATGTTGTCTGAGGTGGTGATAGCTCGGATCCATACTGTTAAAATTAGTTTCGTAACCCCAACTTGGCGCCTTTAAGCAGTCACTGAACTGGGTGCAACTTGTAGTAGTGTAGATGTCAGTGAGATGAGTAAGCATGTCTACTTGTCTTGAGCCACTTTGGCCCAGTGTCGGTTATTAGTAGGTGCCTGCAGCCAGTGCAGCATCGGCTCGAAACACTCCTTCCTGAGCCTCGCTGCGCCTCTTCTCCTCAAGGAGCTTCTCCTTGTAGAGCGCTATCGGGGTACCAATTTCATCACCCTGCATAAACAAAGGCAACAGCAATCACAGATAGTAGTATTCCAGTTCGGCACGCGCTCATAGTAGGTGGTTTCCTATACAGGAAGTCCTCCATAAAAGTCGTGACCGATATCACTACTTGTATCAACAATCATAGACGTTGTTACTATGATGGACATCGCCAGATCATATACCGGACTCACATAAGTAGTACCCCTGGGGCACTATTTTGCCAAAATTCATCACAAATGGGGCACTATTCAAGAGAGGGTACTTTTTTCAATTCTGGTACATTTGCGTCAACCAGCATGAAACAAATGCAAACAGAGCCTAACGTTTACTGTAAACTATCATGACTCAACTTGTCACAGAAACGGCCATAGCTTGGCTACACAAACCTAGCTAAAGTCTGTAATAATAGTTACATGTATAATATCCCATAACTGCGATTTTGATACTGAAACCACCAGTGCAATGACATGGAGAAGGACGTTAGCAAAAGGACACCAAACTTGCCAATGCCCTTGGTTACAACTTGGGGGGGGGGGCAGCACTATTCAAGACAGGGTCAGCTTCACCATGCGTTGTCAGTGAGGCACACTCAATTAGCCTCAGCACCAAGATCATTGAAGTACACTGGGTTTGGCTCCAGAGGTGGGATGCCTTTAATGCAGCAATCCAAATGATTCCCCCAAGCCTAACTCTCCTGCTGACAAATGCCTTCGGACTGCAATCCAAACTTGGTGAGTTCCAGCACACTGATGAATCGTCTGGTGCCCTCAAGGGATCGTCTAGCATGCACGATGCCCAGTAGCCAACCAACGATGTTCAGACTCTTGGTGACGAATGCCTTTGGCCTATCGTCCAAGCTTGCAGAATTCCGCCACACCCTCCAGACCCTGAAGCCAGATATAGCAGTAGTCACAGAGACAAAATTTACGCCAGAGAAGTGCAGCGAATCTGAAGCAGCCATGCCTGGCTATCACACCCCCATCCGCAAGGATCGCTCTGCACACGGTGGTGGAGTAGCAGTCTGGGTGAAGGCTGGCCTAGGATATGAACATCTTGATCACATCCAGTGCCATGATCACGAGATCATCTGGCTGAGTGTCACGACGCAGAGTGGACAGAAAGTTGTTATCTGTGCAGCCTATCGGCCCAGGTCCTGTTCGGAGACAGATCTCCAGCTATTGGAATACTTAGACAACACGCTGGAGGCATCCCGTACCTACGGATCAAATGTCATTGTGACCGGCGACTTCAATGTGCATAACGCTGCCTGGCTCTGCAGCAACAAGACCACCCGAGCTGGAGAGTATGCAGAGGATATCTGCTGCTATCATGGCCTGAGTCAACATGTCGACGTACCCACCCGAGGTGATAACACCCTGGACCTGGTGATGTCTGATTTCCCTTCACCAGCAACTGTTAAGGCACACCCGCCTATTGGACTCTCTGATCATGCTGTCCTCCAAGTTGACTTTCCTGTGAAGCTCACCCGTGAGCCCAAGACATCGCGTAGAGTCTGGCGATACCACCGCGCAGACTGGGAGCGGCTTGCCCACTTCTACCGAACAACAGACTGGGAGAGCATGCTCGGACCTGAACCGGATCTCAGCTGCGACAACATCACCAAGAGGATCCTCGAAGGAATGGCACAATTCATACCCAACAGAGTTATCTCATCGCGCCTCTCCGACGAACCTTGGTGGACACCGGAGTGTACAGCTGCAGTCAACACCAAGCGACAGATGTGGCACCAGATGCGCTCAAATCCCGACAGTGCTGATAAGAAAGCACACTACCGCACAGCTGCAGCCTCTGCACGCAGTACCATCCAGCGAAACAGAGAACGGCATATTACCATGCTCCGGCAGAAACTCACCACTGGTAGCCTTCGGGACAAGGAATGGTGGTCCACTATCAAGCGTGCGGGTGGCAAGGGCCGCAGCGCTGATATACCAACACTCCGATCTGCTGATGGAACTGAGTACACAACCAGTCAGGAGAAGGCCAAGTGCCTTGGTCAGTACTTCGCCGATAAGTGCAGCCTCGGCCCACAGGACTTCAATGAGGAATCTGAATTCCCCTTTGTCCAGCCTCGCTCCCAAAGCCGTCTCCTAAGTATTCGCTTCCGCCCTGCTGAAGTCCGTAAATTGCTGAGGGCCCTTGATCCTTCGAAAGCGTCAGGCCCTGATGCAGTTCCGGGCAGAGTCCTCAAAGCCAACGCTGAGCACCTTGCAGTGCCACTATGCTTGCTCTTCCGCCAGTGCATGACATCGGGGACACAACCACAGTCTTGGAAAGTGGCAAGTGTCGTCCCAGTCCATAAGAAACGGTCAAAGTCAGCCCCATCGAACTATCGGCCCATTTCCCTCCTGTCGCTCATCTCCAAGACAATGGAAGCAGTTGTTAACCGTGCTCTCACCAACTTTCTCGAACGAAATAATATACTCTCAAACCACCAGTTCGGTTTTCGTCGAGGGTTAGGACCTGCTGATCTCCTAACAGGACTACACCACCAATGGAGCAAGATAGCAGCTGCTGGCGGTGCTGTACGTATTGTTGCCGTCGACATTGCGGGGGCCTTCGATAAAGTCTCCCACGCAGGTGTCCTTCACAAGGCAAAGGCTTACGGAGTGTCCGGGAACCTCCTCAAGTGGCTCCACAGCTACCTGGCGGATAGACGAATCCAGGCCGTTGTGAGTGGACCAACCTCACCTAAATTCCGAATCAGCTCAGGTGTGCCGCAAGGGAGCATACTGGGCCCCACTCTGTTCCTCCTATATGTCAATGACATGGAGGACCACCTCCCAGCCACAACCCAGCTCGCCATATATGCAGATGACACCACGCTTTATCAGTGCATCCCATCCCTGACCGCTCTCCCAGTTGGCCTAGCGCAGCTCCAGACTGCTGTGGATGCCTTAGCTGAATGGGGCCAGAGCTGGAAGATCGCATTCGAGCCGACAAAGTCGCAAGTCTTGACAATTTCGCATCACCGTAAACCCTGGCCGATTCCTCCAGCCACTTTCAATGGGGTGGCCATAGAGGAAGTGGAGGAGCTGAAGTTGCTCGGAGTGCTCTTTGATCGGAGCCTCTCCTTTCGCTCCCACATTCGACAGGTTGCAGTCCGTGGTCACCAACGTCTTGGCTTCATGAGGAAGGCCCTGCCCATTCTCGACAGCAAGGCCAAGTATGCAGTGTATCGCGGCTTCGTCCGCCCAGTACTTGAGTACTGCCCGCTTTCATGGTTGGGTGCGTCCCAGTCTACCCTGAACCAGCTGGACCGGGTACAGCACCGAGCCCTAAAGCTCATCGGCCCAGGGTCATACCTCCCAAGCCTCACTGTTCGGCGTCAAGTCGCAGCACTCACATTCCTGTACAAGCTGCATTGGATCGACGGTCCCCCAATCCTGACCACCATGACACCACCGAGGGCAGTTGCAAACCAGCACCGGCGCTCCACTCGCCACCAGCAAAAGAACCAGCACCAGCACCAACTAGCACCGACACTGCCCGCCGGAGCCCGTAATAGTGCTCTCCGATCATTCCCCCATGCCACGATCCAAGACTGGAATCGTCTCCCATCTGCCCTGCTACGCAACCTTCCCACGCAGAAGGGAATGCAGGCATTCAAGGAAGGCGCCTACAAGTCGCTCCGCAGCCGAGACTGGCGTTCAGCCACAGATGCCCTCTGAACACTCCCTGAACACCCTCTCTGCTTGCACCCTGGCTCCCCCTTTTTTATTTTTTATTTTTTATTATTATTATTATTTTATTTTTTTTCTTCCTCTATCACATGTATCATCTTTCCGTTTTTCCTTCCTCTATATAAATGTACCCCCCCCCTCCCCTCCCCCTGTGCCTACTCCTCCCCAGTTTTTGGTGCTCTGAAGTGTCGCTGAAGCCGAGACCTCAGGTTGGCGGAGATGCTCCAGTTTTCACCACCACAGTTGCGTCTGCAACCACCTCTACCATGCAGTATTCTGTTCTCGAGGTTCGTGGTTTCTCGTAAAAAAAAATAAATAAAAAAAAAAAATGAGTGCCTCGTCCAGAATAGGCTCCGCTGGGGATGCTTGACTAGTAGATATTCTGAACAGGCTTGCCATCAACCAAATCATCCAGCTTGTGTACATGTCCACCACATTCGCCCTCATCAGAAAACTTCCGAGTAGCCGCATAAAGTTTACCGGAGGTGGCTTTTTATTCTTTATTTGCAACTGCTTATGTCTAATACTTTGAGCAGTGATCTGCAGGTGAGTCTGCACGCTTGGCAAGTACTTCTTTATAAAGTAGTGCAGGCCTCACGTAGCAACTCCGATACAGCATCCTATAACCACTCGTTGAGTTACAAGAAGAGCTGTCAGCGTCACTGCATCGCCAGCAGGCTTCTGAAGCAAGGGCAGCTGAAACACAGCTGCCAATTTGAATGCGTAATGCTCGCATGATCCTGCTCTACCGAAACATAAATAGACTTTTGTCAGTTCTGCGATGAACCTTCTTCCAATCCTACCACAAGGAATTTGGAAAGGATTGAATTTGAAATGGGCACATACCTAATAAGGATACACAATCACGTCCACAGACTCTGCCTCGGTAAGATCACCCAGATGAAATCCGTGATTCCGCGACGGTGATGAGGAAGGCTCCGGAAAATCACGCACCTGATCATGATTTTGCCTATTAACAATTTGACTGTTTTCCTGTCCTTCAGGCTGATATCCATGGCAAAGGCTGTGAGTGTTCATGACTGGGTCCAGCAAGCCTGACATAATAGTTTGGATGTCATCTCCAATGTCACCAACTCTCTGATTCGGTACTGGTGGGGACAGTCATTATTTCTTCAGACTTTTACTGTTGGGAACTCCCTCAATATTTTGTAATATTTTCTTTTTTTTCCATTTTTTTGCTTCCTGCCATGGCTGGCTATCGCCCCCGCCCCCTCCCTAAATATTGGCCTATATTCCCTGGCCACGGGAAGGTGAAATAAAAAAATAATATAAACTATTTTTTGTACATGGATAGACTCAGATGGAGAGTCAAGGATAATCTTTTTAGTAAAGAAAAGGACCAAGGCCCTACAACTTAGTAGAAGTTATGCTATAAGGTCCACCACCACCACCACCACCATTTGCAATCAGCTCATGCGATAACCTTGCATGACGCCGACCTATGGTACTGACGTTCCACAACTAACTAGCTATCAGCTCTAACACGTCTTGGATGCGCACTCCAATAGCCCTCCAACTTGGAAGGTGCTAAGTTATAGGATAACATAGGAAAGAAAAAAATGGGACCAAGGACCTACAAGTTACGCTATAATGTCCACTGACACCACCAGTTACTTGACAATCAGCTCATGCGATAACATTGCACTAAACTGACCGGCAGTACTGACGTTCTACAGCTGGCTATCAGCTCTAGTACACCTTGGATGCGCACTACAGCAGCCTTCCAACTTGTAAGGTTCAAAGCTATATAAAAACACAGGTGGGGAAGGTGAGCGCAACCTGAAAGTATCAGCTGTAAAGGCTGTTGGCGTATGTGTATGAGCTGATTGTCAAGTAACCGGTGGTGTTAGTAGACAGTATAGCGTAACTTCTAGTTTCTTTGTCCTTTTGTTTTTTACTATAAATTAATCATTGGCTCTCCATCCGAGTCTATCCTTGATCCTTGATAACATACCAGGTTGTGATTTATAGGAGATTGTGTATCATCGAACCTCTATAGTTTCTGAAGACAGCAGAAATAGATTCACCTGAAGCTACTAGAGATTACAGCAAAGCGATCATCATGCACCGTTTCTAGCAAGAAGACTGGGAAATCTCTTCTAAACATTCATTAGTTTGAATGAGAGAGCTGAAAAGGTGAAAATCCGAAGCAGATATTGAAAGGCACCACCAGGACTGGCGCCAGTGACCTTTGCTTTACTCCCACCATGCTCTACCACTCACCTATGGTCAAGCCTTCATCTCAACAGAGACCGTTCAACACGTTCTGCAAGATAAAGCTCAAGCTTCCTGTGACACTACCGGGGCATGTGGAACACATCCTTTACTGTTCTCACACACTTCATGCGCATATTAGGGATCAAGGACCAGAATTGGATTGTTTGGCTACTCCGTGTTTAAAACAACCGAGCGTGTGACACGTGTGTACGACTGGCCTTGATATAGATTGCAATCTCTCCTATTATAATGCACAGGCAGTGACACGTATTGCATGAGCAGGGATGAACATCTCGTGTCTCCTGAATCCTGACACACGAATCCTAACTGTCCTAGTGCAAAAATACTACTAACACATCGAGGCTAGCTCTCCTTCGGTTCAGCGACAAAGTGTATATGAGTGTATAACTGGTTCAAACTGTAACTCTGAGCTCAGTTGCTTATTCCTAACAAGTTGGAAAGAGCTGGATGGGGGAAGATTGAGTACAGCTGTATAATTTGTGTTGCCACTGTGAAGAAGAGGATCACAAAGGACAGCTACAGACTTCTTCGCAGTACATTTTAAAGGCTCTGGGTGAGATAAGTGGCTTCCGTCGTGACTAGTGGAAGCGTGACGTCTCTAAAGAACGTGACGTACGCTCCATCACCGAAATTGGTTGTAGGCACGACTGTGTCGGCGGCAATGGCTACGTACTGGCTGATCCTAACATCCACCTTGTGGGTGTTTTGTTTACTTCAATTGCTGGATCGTGCTATGTATGTCAATGGAGACAACAACGGACCATTGATAAAAGTCAATGTACGTCCTCAGCATCCAAATGTTATAAGCCTTATGTCACTTAAGAGGGATGAGTACAAGTCCGAAATGCACGTCAGGGAGGTGGTCATGTTCAGGGAGAATGTTCGAAGTAAGTTCACACCACACCTTATGATTATCTATAGGCAATTCGATCATGAGACAGCCTATTTCTACGTTGCCGTGTTTGATACAAGCTTCACGGGAGGTCAAACCTGGCAGCTGTTTGAGCGTGAGATTGACTTAAACGTGACACTGGGTGAGGAATGCTGCTGTTTCAAAACTTTGCCAAGTGTGGCTGTGTCCCCTTGCAAGCATCAAGTCATCCTACATGGTTTTGGCCCTGGCGAATGTAGCAACTTGGTGGTGCTTTATGGCAACAGGCAAGCCAGAGTTATTCGAGCGCGCAAAAGAAGTGAGAGTCCTCAGGTGGGTGCAATCGGGTCTTCTCTCGTCGCCATTCCAGCAGCCTTGAGTACTTGCACAGCAAATGCATCAAATCCGTCCTTTTTCCTCTATTCATTTGGAGGTTGTTTTTGGTGGAACGGTAAATACTGCGATACCTCAAACGATGTTCTATCTCGTCTCCATGTTCGAGAACATGATGTCGGACATTGGCAGGATATTCACCCAAGTGACATGGTGACTCCCCAACCTCGCCGGTTCGCCAGTCTTTTCGTTGATGATGATGATGCAATTCTGTTGTTTGTAGGTGGGTGGAAAGTGCTTGAAGGAGTCGCGGATACCGTCACTTTGGATATTTGGAAATTCAACACCTTATCACTGACATGGATGGAGGTGGAAAATACCTTTCAAGGCCCCATGGATCTTCTTAATTCATCATTTGATGCATCGTATCTTGCCTTGCAGAAAACCTTGGTTATTGATCCAGCGAGGAGACGATCGGGAGGCACAGTTCTTTCGGAGATTATTTTTGCAATATTCAAGATTCTCCTGCCAACTGTGCAAATCGTGTGATTCCAAATAGAGATTTTCCATTGAGCCACCGATTTTTTGACATCATTTCTGGTAAGAAATCATCTTTCCTCGTACCGCCATCTGGAGAATCTGTGAGCAGGGCATTTGTATATTCGAAATGGGATGGAAGAAGTAGATCAATGTATCTTCTGGAAACACAGGTTATTAACATTGTCAATTCATTCCCTGGTGTCGGTTTAAACTCACGACAGCGTACAGTCGGCATCCTTATTCCAACCAGAACCCAGGATATACAAGAAGTTCTAGTCTTCGGAGTTACCGCCAGTTTGTTTGTAGAGAGTCACACTATTCGCAACTTTGTTCGGCGAAGTCCTATGTTTACTATGCCTGTATGGATAGTACGCTCTCCACGAAGAAAGAACGGCTTTCATACCGAATTCATCTACACACTTCTCTACCCGTCACCTGGTCCAGACTGCCCTCTTCGCAATTATCACACCGTTACCTTGGTAACAAACAAAACAGCCATCCTGTATGGAGGGTGTCCTAAAGAGAATGGGGATCCGAATCCGTGGTGCTTCAATATAAATGAACACTTTTGGGTAAAGGCGAACATCACATCTGGGATCGTACCCTCTCCACGTTCACAACATGTATCATTCAGATATAATAGATCTGCAATGGTCATCCATGGTGGATGGGGCCGTACATTTATGAGCCATGCCCTTGGAGATTTGTGGATGTTCATCATGGAAGACGAAGACCAGTGCAAAGGTCGATGGCATAATCTCACAGAATACGTTAAGAAAGGACATCTACCTATCCAGTATGGTCATTCAGTAACACCAACTGATCATGGTGTGTTGCTGTTTGGAGGCCAGATGCCATCCGATTCCAAACTAATACTTGTGGATATCCGTTCAACAGTCGAAATAACCGTTCGTGATATTCCGATAATTCCTGATATACCAAACCGCTATAGCCACAGCCTGTCATTTGTAAACAACGACCTAATCCTGCTTGGAGGACGTCAAAATGTTAGGACGCTGGGTGAAAATTCAAATTGGGCACTTCTTATCACCGTCAAAAGCAATGGTTCTCAAGAGGTGGCTACGTGGAACAAGTTCTTCGAAATGAGAGTCTTCAATCACTTTGTTCTTGGCAATATGGTAATTGGCGGAACTGCACGAACGTGGTTTCGGGCCTCAAATTTCTACCTTCTCAATACATCCAGCATGTGCCCTATCGGCCTTGAACGGAACGAGAAATCCCAGTGTCAAGAATGCCCTGTCGGGAAGTACTCTCCATCTCTTGAACTGCAGTGTATTAAATGCAACCAGTCCTTAACAACCGTCGGAGAGGCCGCATCTCACTGTGTTCCTGAGGGACCATGTAAAGACAACACTTGTAATGGACATGGAGAATGCCTGGTCAACAAGGCAGACTTCAAACACATCTGCGTGTGTCGTTTCGGATATTTACCCAGCGATGACTGCAATACACCAGCAGTGTACCTGATCTTGATGGCTTCTCTCGTTTTCGCAACCACTCTTACCACCCTCGTCATAGCGCTCATTCAGTTCCTGAGAAAGAGAAGGGCTCTGAATGCAAAGGAAATTGAACTCGTCAATACCAATCGTGACCTCTACCGCTCCAACAGAAAGCTCAGTCAAATCAACCATGGCACGTGTATTGCCTGGTCTGATCTGAAGATTCAAAGACAACTTGCCGAGGGAAGGTTTTGTAAAGTGTTACTTGCTGAGTTGGGAGATATGGCAGTTGCTGTTAAGCGACTTCCACCGTTTGTTTCAACTGCATCGCCGTACGACTCCTTCATTCAAGAGGCGGAAGTTCTACGAACATTAAGCCACCCAAATATAGTTCTATTCCTTGGGGCAGGAAAGGATTCGCAATCCAGGTGTCCATTTCTTGTGATGGAATACTTGATGCGAGGTTCTCTCTGCGATGTTCTCCATGATCCGTCCAACAAGATTGACCAACCAGATCGACTGCGATTCTCCCTGGATGCTGCAAGAGGTGTGAGGTATCTGCACAACAGAGATCCACCCATGATCCACCGTGACATAAAGTCAGCCAACATGCTAGTCAGTGACAAATGGGTGGTGAAGATCGCCGACATGGAAACAGCACGATTCCTAGCCATCCTTCATCCCGACGGTATTGAGTCAAATGTTAGGGAAACAGAATTCATGCAGGAGAGAGATCACTCGACACGCACGGTATCAGATACAACACATCCTGATCAACTAACAACTCCATTATTGGGTGCTACCAGTGTCACATCTGGTGTGGATCCCATTGATAACGACAGAGCTACAAGAGCAACCGAGGGTATGACGTCGCGTATTGGAATGACGTGTGGAGTTGGTACAGATCGCTGGCGATCACCTGAATCCATCAAGAAGAATCTGTACACGGAGAAACACGATGTCTACAGGTGAGCGTAATAAACCACACTGCAAACAGACGTTGAATGAGTAGCTCGTGGTCTTGCTTTAGAAATGAGGTTTAATTCGGCCTGTATTACTAGTAACCCAGAAGTAGCGACAAACTCGGTCATTTGAAAATACTCTTAACCGTCCACCTTTCCACACTGTGCTCTTGGCCCACATTCACAACACCACTCCATAGCGAGGAAGTCCTTTCTTGGGTAGATGTTGTGAATGTGGGCCAAAAGCGCAGTGTAGAGAAGTGGACGGTTAAGAGTATTAATAGTTATTGACAAGTACATTATTTACTTCATCTTGGGGTTGGACATGGGGAAGTAATCAGTTGCCACATTGGGGTGTAAGTCGGCCTCAAACTTGTGTTATTTTGAAGTACTGAATGTCTAGAGGATGCGCTGAATTTTGGTGTTGCAGGGCAGATAGGATCAAAACTATCATCTCCTCACGTTGTATTCTCTTGCTTCAGCTTTGGCGTGGTTATGTGGGAACTCTCAACTCGACAGATACCTTATGCACACCTCAGCAACTCTGACGATATCCTGGATGAAATTGCAGGTGGCACCAAGCCCCTCTTTCCACCAAACATACCCTATGGCTATCGTCACATCGCTGAGCAGTGTATCAAGACAGATCTACAGGAGAGACCTTCAATGCAGCGCATTGTCCAAGAGTTACTGTCACAAATTGATCGCAACTGAAGAGCGACGCCACCATCATAGTAAGCAAAGCACGCCGCAATTCACAACGTTCACAGATTTCCTTTACTTCGGCCAATGAGATATTTCCCAGTGCATTCCCCGACAACAGCAAAAATTTGAAATTTAGAAGTGCGTAGTACTACGTACACTTTGCTTCACATGTACATGTTTGTCACCTTTCGAACTGCTCATTATTCGGGTAACAAGCTTTCTTTTCGACTCTCTCGTACACACCACAACAACAACAACACAATAGAACTGCAGGGTCGCAGCAACAGCTGCTCCAAGAACAAAAAGAACTGTACAGCAGCAGTGCAAGAACAAAAAGAACACCGTCTTCAGACCAGCATGCACCTTCATGTGCATGCTGCAACTCCGCACTGTGCAGCCAGTGCGTACCGCACTCCCAGCACAGTCCGTGAACTCTGGACTGTGCACTCGCGTTTCGAAAAGAACAGCATTTCTTGTTTACTTCGTTGCTCTCATCCAACAAGAAATGAGACATGGTCCAGCCAGTGCATGCAGTATATTCAGCACTCTGCAGGCCTCGGACTAAATCCGGCCTAACCCGATCTCACAAACATGCACATCAGCTTACATGATGTCACGTACTTATCAGATCACACCTGGCCCTTGTCAACATCTGCCTCAACTACCATACTGTCCACAGCCAAGCTTATAAAGAAAGAATTCGAACACAGTTTATATTGCAAACTAACATACATACTTCACGTGGCTTGTGACAATGTGAAGCAGTTATACCAGCCTTGTTACATGTATGTTGAGAACCTCATGCAAACATACTAGTACATACTTCACTTGTAGCTTGTAAAGATGTATAATGTTTATGACAGCCTGTTATATTCAGAATCTCATGCGTACACAGCCAGTCAAGGTCACATGCATAGCAATCTTGCCAAACGCTTTGTTTCACAAGATGCTTTCAAAAATTATTATTCTGCTTTGTAACGTGTGTCTGCATTGTGTGGCATTGTGCACTGCTTTCAAAATACTATTCAACACAAGATGTTATTATTCGTGGCTACATACACGAATGTGCATCCAAATGCTGTGTGAGGTGGTGATAGCTCGGATCCATATTGTCAAAATTAGTTTCGTAACCCCAACTTGGCGCCTACAAGCAGTCACTGAAGTAAGTGCAACTTGTAGTAGTGTAGATGCTAGTGAGATGAGTAAGCATGTCTACTTGTCTTGAGCCACTTTGGCCCTGTGTTGGTTATTAGTAGGTGCCTGCAGCCAGTGCGGCATCGGCTCGAAACACACCTTCCTGAGCCTCGCTGCGCCTCTTCTCCTCAAGGAGCTTCTCCTTGTAGAGCGCTATCAGGGTTCCAATTTCGCGACCCTGCATAAACAAAGGCAACAGCAATCACAGATAGCAGTATTCCAGTTCGGCACGTGTTCATAGTAGGTGGCTTCCTATACAGGAAGTCCTCAATGAAAGTCGTGACCGATATCACTATCAACAAGCATAGACGTTGTTCCTATGATGAACATCGCCAGATCATATGGCTGAAGAAAACCTGATAACTTTGGGGAAATATTTATGAAATACAAACCACGAATTCCATCCAGTGGAGTTGACCTTATGATACAATGGGGCACTTGGAGCATAGGACCTCTCAGGACATTACTGCGACTAACTGCAGGCTTATACCTCGTGAATACTCAGCATAGTATGGTCATCACACATAACATTACAAATGGCCGCCATAGGTACTACAGACAAGGTGAAAATAGGTGAATTTGGTGACTAAGAGGCTGCAGGTGGTGCACGGTCACATACCATAGGTGTAGGAGGTGCGCCCCTGAACTCTAACCCCATCTGGCCCTGACCCACGCAAAACTCAGTGCAATGCCGTGCAATGCGGTGCAATGCCGTGCACTTACATAGGCAGTCTCGCAGCGTGTTACTTTGACCAGCATCAAGTTTCCGCACTTCAGATCTACAAACTGCTGTCCGGTATTGGAACGCAGCTTTCGCACAGCAACAATATCACTGAATGCGTAGGTCAAGAAAGCCTCCTGCAACAGAATACGACATATAGAGAACACCAGTCAACTCAAGGAGTAAGTGACGCTAGGCCTCGCTATAAAATTTCCTCTATTTCTCTCTTGCATGCGCACTTCCGTCGATTTGCTGCCCTCAGTAGCCATTACACACAACACAAATTCCAAGTATCACCTCAACACTTTCAAACCAACTGTCACAAACAACACATGGGCACAACTTAATGCTTATGATCTAGCAGCGCACTATTTCAGCCATTGCCATCAGCAGCAGCATTCAGTTCTATACGTGGGTTGGCTCTCATTGACAAGGAGAACGAGCGGGAAATCTGAATAGTGAGTATGTACGTCTTTGTATAAATACACCTATTACACCGGCGGCAGCAGCAGCAGCGGCGGCAGCAGCAGCAGCATCAGTAGCAGCAGCAGCAGCAGCAGCAGCAGCAGCAGCAGCCGGATAACAACTCACTCTTGTTTTGTGGCTGAGGAAATGAACTCCTGTCTTGCTGAAGGCCATCAGGCATTCACCGCGAATGTTTACATCCGAACAGTGTTTGATGGGAAAGAAGCAGGAACCGTACAATGAGAACTTCATTGCCTCATCTGCAAAGGAAACAAAGCGGAAAAAGGTTGTGTTCAACCACCAGACATTTATTGCGAAAGTGCAAACAAGTATTGCAGGAATTCAAATAAGGCCCTATCCTGGCTCATATGGATACTGAATGGACTACGAAATTACAAAAACACAGGCTAAAGTCAGTATAAGGAAGTGGCTGAGACAGCACTCAGATCAGGGCTGAGCTAAACAAAGTGCACAAGGTACGCATCTGTAGAGCCCACAGACCAGGATATACAGATCTCTCGTATCTCCTATCCCACTGACAGAGAGGAGCATGCAGAGAACATGCATAAGTCATGTTTAACAAGATGGGAAATGACTAATAATTATGGTTCAGAACACTCAGTCAGAAGCAATGCAGCAGCTACATCTTCTCACATTTCCCACACAAAACTGTCAGGAACAGTTAGTTTGACTACATGTGCAGAGGAAATTGAATGACAGCAGGCACTGCCCTGCTTGCAGTGGCTACTACTCACTCAGGTAGCGTCTCCGGGCAGCATCTGGTGACAAGCGCTTCGCTGATTTATCCCAGTCTTGAACGACAGCTGCAACCCACTCTTCTGGTGAAGACATGTGCACAACACTCGGAGGCAGAAGCTTGGCAACTTGAGCTCTGTACAAGGCAGACATATGGAAATAGAAGCATGACGTGAAGGGTGGTTCCACGGTCATGTTGCGTGTGTGTACCTGGGTTAGTTTGCTTATAGTCTGAGTTGGTCTTACCATCATCACTGTAATGATATGTTTAGGGGAAAACATGGAACTTTGAAATAATGTGCTTCTTGGACATTCTGATCTGGGGGTTCAGGTTGGCAACTGTCGTACATGTATACACTGTCTTGATAAGTACGGGCGAGTTTTATCATGAGACCCTAAAGGACAAACCACCTATACAAGGGGTGTCTGTATGCATGCCATTGCAGGCGTTAGGGAATGCCCCCCCCCCCCCTAACTCAGACTCTGCACTAGCAGCAGGATACGCACAGTTCACTTACTTGAAAGGTGCAATGTCGTGGTCGGTGATGCGAT